TTCCTGTTGAGACTTTTGTATAATGAGAACACAGGGCGGTAATCATATTACTCAAACACAATCACTTTTCTAAGTGTGGCTACTGTGCATGATTTTACACTGTAAGCCACTGTGATAATTTAGTAAAGATCATACTGTAATTATTGCTGGCTTGTTGGTGTGCAGCCAGAAATTCCTCGAGTTCTTAACATGAAATGATTTCAGAGAGGTAGAGCACCACAGATACAATGGATGGAATTAAAGATAAGGAGTAAGCGGGAGACCTTTACAAGAAAATGTCCAAGAAATTTGCAAATGTGTTTAAAACACCCGCCTTGCCACCTGTGACCTTTGTAAATATTGGCATGTGGAATCATTCTTCCTAGATTTGAACTTGCTCTTTGAATAGGAACGAAAGTTCATGAAAGCCGTTTGTCGAGGGGGCGGGATTGGGGAGATCCCTTTGTGGCCCAGCTGCTGAGCCTAACAGCACTTGATTCCACGAAAAACCAGACTCTTATGCCTGAGTCGGGAGCTAACACTGCTATGTGAGCCCTATTCTGGATGTCGACACACCCTTCAGTTTAGGAGTTTGGGGCCAGTGTCATGGGGAGGGAGCAGGGCCAGGACACCTTGCACCTGCCTTTGCTAGAAGGTCAGTATAAACATAAGGTAACCTAATGGCACCAAAAGCCTTTAAAGGGCTCCTTCAAGTGAGGGGAATCACAACAATTGGTAAAAACTTTGGAACCATAGCATTTAGGAGGAAAGAGAATTGGCTTCAGGATCAGAGAAGACTCAGGTTGAAATCCTAACTCTGCTTCTAGTTTCCTGTGGGAAAAAATGAACTCAGAGGATGATAACCTCTTTGAATGCCATTTCCTCATTGGGAAAATGAAACTAACTGTAACTACCTAAGGAGGATTTCCGTGACAACATAGGTAAAGCCATACCATGGCAGATCCTAGATGCAGCACGTGTGTGTAGCAGCAAGAATTAGAATTGTCCCTCTGTGGGATGAAGAGACCTAAGAACTTGACTTTAGCAATTTTATCTCTCAGGAAGTAGAATAGTAAAAAACTTCAGTTCTGAGTTATGAATGCTTGGCCTTGACTTCTGCCTGCACATTTTATTAGCTCTGTGACACTGGGCGCATTGCCTGGCTAATTAGCCTCGAAATCCTCATTTTAAAGGGCTGTACTGATAGTATCTGTTCTATAGGATCTGTGATGGGGATTAAATCAAGGTATTGAATGTAACATAATAAACACTCAATTATATTAGCCATACATGTGTGTCTCTCCATAGTAGGGCCAGAAAGAATGGTTCAGTACTACTCTGTAGCCAAAGAGCATGATATGGGGTCATGTTAGAATATCTGATCCTAAACTCTTCTTTGGATTATACTTGAGTATGTCACAGGGATGCCTTTTATGAGTTCTAGTTTATCATTGTTTTTATGTTTGTATTGTCCTTCCTTTAAAAATTGTATTAGTACACCAACTTGTGCAAATGAAAGATCTCAAACAGGTTAAGATGATTCTGTGGTGAATCATCATCTTTGTCATATGGATAGAGGGGTAGGATTACTAATCACTGGGGTGATCACAAGTTCAAAGCAGGCTCCACGGTGATTCATTTAACACCCCACACAAAGCAAAATGTCATCAGAAAGGAATAGGGTCAACCCAATGTAAAGGGTGTCTTCAAGCTCATGGCTTGTTTTATTAAAACTTACACAGTATTAATGGGGATAAAAGTTGGAGAAAGGAAGCTCAGTTCAAAGCATCAAAAACAATGGCAATTTGTAGACTAGAGCAATAACAGAATGGGTCTGGACAGTGGCAGTTTTAATTCTTTTTTTTTTTTCCACTTTTAGGCTGTGTCAAGTGCTAGTAGAAGCTAAAATGAGTGACACTTAGAGAAAGGGAAAACTTCCCCCTTGAATGTCTTTAAAATCTATAATAATAATATAATAATATAAAGTGCATCTGGGCATTGCCTTCTGTAGCCGTTCTTGTCTGGCTCCCATCCAGACCTGTCAGGCTACTCTGAGTGCTGATGATTCATATCCCAGCACCCTTTTATCTGAACGTTGCAGTGTCTTTTCTTTATACTTTGGCAGTGATGTTACCTTGATGTTCAGAAATCTTTTAAAAGCAACACAGGCTTTCCTTGCGTCTTGACAAATCATCGTCTGCCGGTAATGAAGAAAAATATTCCGTGATCATTGTAAATATAGAGAAATACTTCCATTTTTTTTTTTTAATGTTCATGCATTTTGGGGCACCTGGGTGGCTCAGTTGGTTAAGCCTCTGCCTTTGGCTCAAGTCATGATCCCAGGGTCCTGGGATTGAGTCCCACATGGGGCTCCCTGCTCAGTGGGGAGCCTGCTTCTTCCTCTGCCTGCAGCTCCCCCTGCGTGTGCGCTCGCTCGCTCTCTCTCTCTCTCTCTCTCTCTCTGTCTCCCTCTCCCTCTCAAATAAATAAATAAAATCTTTTTCAAAAATTTCATGCATTTTGAGATCCTCTAACTGAACAGTGATCTGGTCATCTCTGCTTGTTCTCCTTATATAAATCAGCAGGCTGTTTTTTAAAAGCATTGATCAAATGAAGTTTCTGCAGAGCGTTTGATAGTTGAGGACAGAATTTAGGATTTTTTTTTAAATTTATTTATTTGACAGAGAGAGATCACAAGTAGGCAGAGAGGCAGGCAGAGAGAGAGGAAGGGAAGCAGGCTCCCTGCTGAGCAGAGAGCCCGATACGGGACTCGATCCCAGGACCCCAAGATCATGACCTGAGCCGAAGGCAGCGGCTTAACCCACTGAGCCACCTAGGCACCCGAATTTAGGATTTTTATATGATTTCCTGTCTTTGGAGATTTTTAAAAAGGGAAACGGGGATTATTTTTATTGTTGTGGTTTACATTGACTGCTGTGGTTGTAAGGTTAATATTTTGTCAGTTACCAATTTTAATATGCTTTAATATATCCTGATAATGCGTACACTTGCATGGCTTTTCATCCATTTCATCATCTGGGACTTGAAGCAGTCATGTGAGGTTAGCAAGGCAGATCCTCGTTATCATTCCCACTTACATTTGAGGAAACTGAGGCTCAAATGGCTTCTGATTCCCCCACTCAACCAACAGCAATCCTTAAATCGAGGTCTTCCGACTAACATGAGGAGTTTCCACTTGTATCGTGTTCTGTTTCAGAAAGGAATCTCAGCTTCATCGATGACTACTTAGCATCCAGAGTGAAGATTGTAGTAGGTCTCCTGGGCTGGGCGCGGGTCACAGCGACCTGTCCGAGAGGTTGGTTGTGTCTGGGAGCTGCATTTTAAGGAGAATGCTGGGAAACTACAGGACATGAGAAGAGTTGAGAATCTAGAATGTGAGAAGCCTGGGAGCAGAAATAACCAAAAAAATCAGGACTTTCAAGTATGGAGATAGGAGGATACAGAGATATAGTTGACAACTCCATATTTATTATGGACTGTCTTGTCCTTAAAGGGGAGGAAGGAAGAGGAATTGGATTTGTTCTTTGTGATGTCAGGCAGCCAGAGCAGGATCACTGGGTGGAAATCACACAGAAGCAGATTTGTGCTCAATATGAGAAGAAACTTGCTAAAATTTAGAGATGCCCAAAAATGGAATAGACCAGCTCACTTGCCCCTGGAAAGTGTTCACACCGAAACCAGCTGACTCAAAGACTAGATGACTTGAGGGGCATTTGTATTTTGGCAGTAACAGTTTTATGATGAACTTTCAGAGCGCTCAGAGACTTTCCTCCTTAGCTAAAAAAAAGAGGGTTTTGTAGGGTTTTCTGTTCTGGTTTTAGAAAATTGTATACATAACAATTCCTGTTTCATACATCATTAGTTCCTGAGAAGTCTGTTCATCTGAAGGGGAGAGTATCATTAGTTAACACAAATAAGCAAAACTTTTGTGAGGTTAGGAATTGAAGCAGACAGTGTGATGCATACAGTGGTGTGTGTGTGTGTGTGTGTGTGTGTAATTTAACTTTCAGGATGGAAGTGGTCCAGTCTGGCCCTAGAACACAAAGAAATGAGGGGAGGGGATGCTTCCGCGTGGCTCAGAAGTTAGGCATCTGCCTTGGTCTCAGGTCATGATCCCAGGGCCCTGGGATTGAGCCCCGCATCAGGCTCCCTGCTCAGCGGGAAGCCTGCTTCTCCCTCTCCTTCTCTCCCTGCTTGTGTTCCCGCTCTCACTGTGTCTTTCTCTGTCAAATGAATGCGTACAATCTTTAAAAACAAAAAAATGAGGGGAGGAGCTCATTGGACTTAGCTGGTTTTAATTTTCTTAATATAGAAAAGGCTGGGGCATCAAAAGAAATCTGCCAAAACGAGTTTGTGACATAAGCAGATTCACTAAGGGAAACAGCTGACTAGGTAGGACCCAAAGTCACCGTTCCAGATCCAGCTCCGTCACTCACTGCTTTATCATTGCGCCTTAGGCTTTTATTTTCCTCTAACGTGGAAGTGTTCTAGGAATTTTCTTTCCAACCTTTAAATTTTATGATCCTAATTCTCTCAATTTTATGACTCTGCTTCTCTGCATTTGCATAGGAAATTGAGAATGGTCTCAATTATAGCAAGAACAATTCAGTCATTCATTTGTTCTTTAAATGACTTATTCATTTATTCAAAAACACTCATGAAATGAAACGCTATTTCAAAATACCAAAACTTTGCCTCAATATATGTGATCCTCAGAATGAAAGGAACATAGCAAGTCAGCCTCCTCATGACTGAAAATGAATGTGAAGAGTTCCATGTTTAGGGTGTTTTGAAACAAAGGTAAATGAATTCCTCTGTAAAATTGTTGTTCCTGAGAGTTGGAATGGTAACATGTCCCACATCCTAACGGGATGCAGTAAAAACTTACTATGATAAATCTGTTAGCACCTGCGGTATTAAAGTTATTCTACCACTGATGATTCCGAGCAGGAAGTCTTTTCTGTGCAAATAATCTCATCTTTTTCTTCATCTTCCCACAGATTCCAGAGAGGTGACTACCACATTGACGTCTGTATCAATGACTACCTGGATGTTTTCTGCCCTCACTATGAGGACTCGGTCCCAGAAGACAAGACTGAGCGTTATGTCCTCTACATGGTGAACTTTGATGGGTACAGTGCCTGTGACCATACTTCCAAAGGGTTCAAGAGATGGGAATGTAACCGGCCCCACTCTCCAAACGGACCGCTCAAGTTCTCTGAAAAATTCCAGCTTTTCACACCCTTCTCCCTAGGATTTGAATTCAGGCCAGGCCGGGAATATTTCTACATCTGTGAGTATACAGAGATTTATTGGGTTGTAGGACAGCTGCAAGCGCCCAGACTAATTTTTTACCCATGTTTCAGAGAATTGCGGAGAGCTGGACTCTGCATTACAGATGTCTCCTTGTAAATGTATACATCACAGTCCCTAGATACATGAGCTGGGAATTGAGAGCACAAATTAGATTAAAGACACAGCTCCTCTCCCCCTATGAAATTGCGTGTCAGCCTGTTCAGTGAACCACTGCTGACTTGTATTTCTTTTAAATGAAAATTGCTAGGACTTCTCCAAAGCTGAGGAAAAGAAAAAGAGATTCCTGAAAAAAAAAAAAAAATTAAAGGAAATAATTAAATTTACATAGCGTGGAGTCATTGGATTTCTTATTCAGGTGTCAGCAATATCCTTTCAATCATCCACACTTATAGTGGAGAAAGCCAGAACTCCTGCAAATGTCAGCATGCTGACGATAAATACTCTCTTTGCACCAAGGAGAAAAGACCATTATTAAGAGCAGCTGTGTCTTTAAACAGGCAAGCGTGTGAAGAAGTATCTAGAAAGCGTTCCAGAGGAACTGGTATAAGTGAGTTCCCCACCGGTGACTCTGTCCTGAGAGAGCTCTAAAATGTTCTCAGCTGATCTCTGTACGAATCATATTGCTGTGGCCTTGTTTCCTGTCCGTGGCGTACACCGTCACGGCTTCGGGTGTCCTACTAGTCACATAGTCTAGGTAAATGCTTCTCAAACTTCACTGTGCGTCAGTCACCTGGGGATCTCATTATAATGCAGATCTGACTCAGGTGGTCTGCTGTGGGGCCTTGGGTTCCATATTTATAAAGCTCCCATGCGACGCTGTTGCTGCTGGTCTATGGGCCACACTTGGAGTTAGGATGGTTACAGGTAATGTTTAATCTAGGCAGCCTGCTGTATATCTGGACTTTTCCTTCACTAGTACCAAATACTTAAACTGTCTGGTCTTTTCCAAGTATTTTCACGATCAGCCGAAGGAGCTAAGCATTCTTTGCTCAGAAGTACATTGATCGAACAACTTTTCCTGGCTCAGAAAAGTTGGGGGATGCCAAATCCAAAGACATTCTGGTCCTCAAGGGGTGACCATCTGGTGGGGAGGAGAGGCAAATAAATCGGCAGTTGCTGAAGGAAAGTAAATGCAGGGAGCAGTGGGTACAGGAGTACATGTACCTCACCTCCTTGAAAGAATTAGGAAGTGTGGCTGCACACAGGGGGAGTGGTCCAAGCCATACCACCCGGTATGCTTAGCATGGACTTGTCACCCCTCCTTGCCAGACAAGCAATACAAAGAACATTCCTTTTTTTCTGACTCATTTCTTCACCCTGAATGTCCCCACTGACTCCTAACCCACGTTTTTGTTTTGTTTTGTTTTAAGTCTACAAGGATATCGAGCTTCTCTTCTCCAGAAAACAGAATTTTATATTAAGCCGGATTTTGCTATCACACGGGCACTCCCACTTATATTGAGATTAAATTTAAAAAGGAAATTGAAAAGTACCAGTTTTATTATTTCAGTACATATTTTAGACATTAGTCATGAGAAAGCACGTAAGAGGCTTGATACCATCTCACATTCGATCCATAAAATAAGAAAAGGAATATTGAGTCCCATGGATGGAGGAAACACTGACAGACATTGACTTCACACGTTCTCCTGCAGCAGGCTCCTGCCTTTTCCTGATTTTTTACCCTGTGAAAGAATCTCATTCAGCAAATGGGAAAAAGGAAAGAGGGAGGCTTTAGTGGCGGGACGGCAATCATTAATTGCCTAATTCTAAAATATCCTACTGATGTAAGAGGAAATCCTTGCCAGTTTCACAATTTACATATTGATTTTTCAGCTTAAAACACAACAACAAAAGCAAAAACCAAAACTGAATTGAGAGCACTGAGATAGGAAGCATACAGCTAACTTGCTGTGATTGCATGATTATTAGAAATTAGAGAATCCATTGAGGTTCATAAGCAAGATGTTATTATTCAAATATACCCATAGTGCTTATGACTGGTTTTTCCTCATTTGTGGTTAAATTCAATATTTCACTAAAAATCATTATGTGTCTTCTATAACATTCATTTAATGGAGTCATTTAACTGTCAAGGGCTCCTGTCAAAGTAATTGTTCCAAAATGCTTCAAAATATCAAGAGCTTTTTGCTGTTCAGCTGAGTTTAACCTGAATTACTTTTTTTAATGAAAGGTAAAATAGCACAAAATTAGCAGCAAAGAGATGTTCATTTATAAGAAGCACAGTGGCCTCGTAGTCAGTTAAATTGAATTTTCAACCATGGTTTAGAACCACAAGAGCATCCTTCCCTGTCTTTTTAGTAGGGAAAGGGTTTTCTCTCTTTCTTTCACTGCTGAGAGCAAGAGCGGCAGAGCTAGTGTGGATGTCTTGCAGACGTTTAATATACTGTGGTCATAATTAAACTAAAGGATTCTTAGGGGAGAATTGGCCCTCAGTTGAATTTTCCTCTCTCCTAATATGCATGGAATGAACAAGATGATTGGGAAATGGCTCTTTTCACACTTATTACCTTACAAGAAGCTCTGTTGCCGATCTGAACAAGGCTTGACTAGTTGTCCACCGGTCAATTTTATAAAATGTTCTTAACTAGACCAGGGATGTATTTCAGATCCTTGGGGGCTTAAAATCTCTAACACGTCTTCCAAGAGAAAAGAGAAAACTCTAGCCCTTTGGCGGTCCTGTTTTAGGGTGCTAGAGGAAGGGTCTTGAGTATAGTGATGGGAACCCGAATTCAAATACACAACTTGGCCTTGGGGAAGGAGAAGAGAGGATTTCATATCAGAAAATCCACTCATCGCTTACTCAGGGAGGACACAAGTTAGAACATTCTTACCAAGTTCTGCTTTATCCTCAGTTCTGTTTATTTCCTTCTTAATGTGTTTGAGTTATACAAAGTTAAGAGAACAGAGCGTAGCTGCAAATATGTGAAATTTCCTCTTTACTCTCAAAATCAAACGTCCTTCACTGTTCTAGATCCTTTATTTGTTCCTGAGACTGACTCTGTGCTTTGTCTTCCTTTCCTTGGGAACGGGCAGTATATTGTTACAATTGCTGATACTACGCAGGCAGACTGAGCCCCTTGTTGAATATGACAAATACTGTTTTTAATCTACAGAAGTTATTTTGGTAAGAGATTGGCACACTGAAATAATTACAGAAAGTCGGTGGTATTTCTATCGGTGATAGATTTGCAGAACTGCCAGTCAATAGATTACGGCAATAGTCATTTATATAGACTTCCTAAGGCAAAGAGTTATTTTAGAAACTTCAAAAGTACTCATTTTAGAAATGATTCTCATAAATATTAACCTAATGAGAACAAGTTCAAAAAAAGTGTTGCTGCTGTTCTTTTTAAATCAGAAGAGGCAAAGAGAAATAACTTAAAGAAGGTACTTCCAGTTATCTTTCTGAGTCCGTAAAACACTGATTTTGAAAATCCCCTTTCGTAAAGGAAGGAATATTGCGGCCTGGGCCCTTCTCTTGGCCTCACTAACTGTATGATCTTGGGTAAATCATTTCATCTCTCTGGATTTCTAATTCCACAGCTGTAAAATGACGTAGTTGAGAGAGATGGTTTTTCACATTTCTTGGAGCTTTAATATTCTAATCTTAACTATGTTTAGCTAAAGGCCTGCATACCACGGTAAGAAATAACACCGGTAAAGTGTCTCGGCCCAACACCTTACTTAGTAGGTGGTCAATAAATGCCAGTTAAAGGGGTATGCTGAGGGCGAATGCAGAGTGGAGAGGCATCTTAGCATTACCCAACTCGTTCCAGCCCCGCCACCCCATCCGGTCACTGTCATCTGTGGTCTTGACTAGCGCGGCAGGCTTTCTGTATCACCCCCCTGCGTGTGTCACTGCCCTGTCAAAGCCCTCCAGTGACTTCCTGTCTGAGCAAGACAAAATCCTGAGTCTCTAATCTGGCCAACAAGGTCCTCCGTGGTGGATTCCCTTGCATTCTCCAGCTTGCCTCTTGGACTTCTTGTCCTCTCACTCTCCTTTATTGTCTCCCCTCCAGCAACGCCCCTAGCCCTCCTTCCTGGCTAGTGCCCACCCCCAGACTCCACAAGAGGGCCTTGGCACTTTATCTTCTCTCTGCCTGGGGTTCTCATTGTTCCAGGCACCCACTTCCCTTGCTCTCGCTTTCTTTAGGTCGGCTCTAAAAAAGGTCTTTATCGGACAGGCATTCTGATCTCCCTATATGAAGATAATATGTCTGTGATTCTCAACATTCTTACCCTGCTTTATTTTCTTTCAAGCACTCATCACCCCTGACACTATGTATTTATGGTGCTTTGCCCAGGCCTGCCTGCTCTATGCCCTGTACTACATTGTTTGGCATGTAGTAGATGCTCAATAAGTAAAGGTCACTGGTATTTACACAGCACTCGATTCCAAGCGCTGTTCTAAACCCCTGCAATTCTCAGAGCAGTATGAGGAAGTTCTGTTCTGATGTCCCATTTTATAGGAGAAGAAACAGAGGCGCACAGTTAAGTAACTAGAGAAAAGTTCACACAGATAAGAAGTGGCGGATCTGAGAGGAAATTAAGTGAGCAAACAACTAACAGGAAGTGAAGAGATACAGTCCTCGGTCCCATGTGCTTAAAAGGGGAAGACATTCCTGGGGTGCCTGGGTGGCTCAGTAGATTAAGCCGCTGCCTTCAGCTCGGGTCATGATCTCAGTGTCCTGGGATAGAGCCCCACATCGGGCTCTCTGCTCAGCAGGGAGCCTGCTTCCCCTTCTCTCCCTGCCTGACTCTCTGTCTACTTGTGATCTCTCTCTCTGTCAAATAAATAAATAAAATCTTTAAAAAGGGGGGGGGGAACATTCTTTATTTTATATTTTGTTTATGTTTTTTTTTAACAAAAAGGTTAAAAACAATGAGCTCTATTGTTTAGAGAATATTACTTTATAAACTCTGCCAGAAACCCCAACTCAAATAGTAGCAAGA